TGGTTACCACACAGGACTCCTCTTCTGGAGCCTTTCCTAAAGCATCTAGGACTCAAAGCCCTTCAGATTACAGCTTGTCCATTCGGAGAGCATGGCTGGACTTCTTGTATCGGACTCGTCTTATACTGAGACTAATTTGAACAATGAGTCAGACACAGATGTGCACGGGGCTCGTCTTGTCACTAATCAAAATGCTGATTAAATCCATCCTAGACAACCCCCCCCCCCCCCATGGGCTTGGGCACAGTGCGGTCGCTGGCTGGGGTCACACTGAGGTCAGCGCGGACTGTGGGCACAGTGCGGTCACTGGCTGGGGTCACACTGAGGTCTGCGCGGACTGTGGGCGCAGTGCGGTCGCTGGCTGGGGTCACACTGAGGTCAGCGCGGACTGTGGGCACAGTGCGGTCGCTGGCTGGGGTCACACTGAGGTCAGCACGGACTGTGGGCACAGTGCGATCGCTGGCTGGGGTCACACTGAGGTGTGTTATGAGGTGTGTTATGTCAATGAGCTTTATTTGTCGTTTTAACAGTACCATAGTATTGTTTTAACAGTACCATAGTATCATTCTGTTGAGATGGTTCCTCTCCTTCTGCCTGTGCTTAGACTGAGCTCTTCAGGGCTGGCTGGGTTAGGGAATGGAGCTGGAGATAATGGGGATGGTTGAGATGATGGAGACGACATGGCGGCTCCACTGGGGCCTCCTCTGCTTGTTTGCCATCTTTACTGACATCTCATGGCTTTTTAATCAACCAGAAGCTGGGGGGGGCAAAGTGAGGGTGTTAAAAGCTCCCTACATTAGCAGGATGTGAGACGCTGCGGGAGTTCCGCTGGCTGCACCAACGCGGTTTATGTTCCAAAATTCACCTGGGTGTGTTTTTAGGCCGGGAAGCCACGCCTGTTTACCGTGAAACGTGTGGACGCTCTAAAGATTGAATTGTGACGATGCTGCTCGGAACGCACTGTGCAGAGCAGAAAAAATATTTTCTTATTTACCCATGGTTTTTTCAGGCCAGCAAAATCTAACACAGGTTTACAGACACTGCAGCTATGTGTGAACACATGAACTAAGCAGGAAATGGCCATACACCTGTAACACTCTGCTGGCAGTCAGTGAAATGTGCAGGTTTGTGACCCGTCTGAGTCTGGGTGGGTGTCAGGATCTCTGGTGTCTCTCTCCTGGTGATATGCTTCACACGCCTGCTGCAGGAAGCTTTATCTCCGCTTGAAGCTGGCTGGTTGCATATGGGTATATAACATGCATGTGTTTATTTACAGCATATGTATATTTTATTTGCATTCAGCCGTGACATTCAGAATGGAGATCTTTTTAACCGAATCTTTTTTTTAATCGAATCCCCCCTACCCGTCGAGGGCGTGATTCACTTATAAACAGTGGCTGTGCTGCAGACAAGACTGGCAGAGAGACAAGCATGTGTTAAAATCCAGGTGAAGGTCACAGTGGTGCCAGGGTAGATCAAGGAGTCTTCTTCTTAACCACAGAACCGCCAGTGTTTTTTAAATCTCCTTTTACTGGCAGTAGTGACGCACTTCAGCGTGTCACACCTTTTGTTCTTTTTAATGGGTCGTCACAGCATGATGAAAACAGCGGGATGGTCAGTAATCCTTAGAGCAGCAGAGTCGCTGTCACCCAAAAAAGAAACAAAAAACGTAAAACCCGTAATAATCATGCTTATGTCATATGTTTTTGTGCTTACTGATTTAATGAAGTGCATCTTCTACTTGCTCGTCCTGGTTTCGGGGCCTGGGGTGAATCCCAGGCAGCACAGGGTACAGGTCGGAGTGTTCCCTGGATGGAATGCCCCGAATGAAGTCCACCACAGGGCAGGACACATTAATTGCATATACAATCATAAACATTTTATAAAGGCTTATATAACAGTCTTTGTTCTGCCAGGTATCCCCATGCTGAACATTGTCTTCGAGGGCTTCGAGCACCTCTCCCTGATCTCCGTGCCCCTGCTGATCTACCACCCCGCTCAGATCCTCCTGGGAAGCATCCTGGTGCCGACCATCAAGTCCTGGATGGTGACCAGGCAGAGGGTAAGAGCCGCTGCCACCCTCTACATGCCTCCTCTGTATGACGGGAACGTCCCCCGGCATAAGCATCCAGAGAATCACACCCCTCTCTCCAGTCAGCCTGGCTGCAGGATGAATTTAGTATCCAGGTCCCAAGGTCAGATCGGTGGGGTGTTTAAAAATTAAAGCCTTAACTGAAGTTTTATTAATCACCTGAATGGAGCCTCGCTCACAGATCATTTTCTTAATGGATGCGCTTCCCGTTAAGATATGGAAAGCAGCTGGCAGTGTTGGGATGAAGCTGTCTGAGTGTTGAGGTTCTTCAAGTAAAGCAGGGAAGAAGCTGGAAAACAAATTGAATGGAAAAACAGTAGTGAGCAGGGCCATTAGCATGAAGTAGCTGTGTGAATCTCACACCTCAATAACAGGTGTGAGTGGTAATTACTGTGGGCAATGCCCCCACCCACACACTGACTGGTAGAGGAAAAATACAACATTTATATTATTACAACAAAATGAATGCACGTAAACAGCCGTGGTTAACAAAACGGTTCAGCCAGTTGACTGTGATGAGTGAATTCTCACTGTATAATAGCAATTAGGAATTATAGTTGTGAAATGTAAAGTGCATCACTACGGAAACAGTGACATGGCACAAGGATTAGTCAGGAATAACAGAGGTAACATGGCACAGAGATCAGTCAGGATTACAGATGTGATGTAGCACAGGGATTAGGATTACAGCTGTGACTTGGCACAGAGATCAGTCTGGAATAACAGATGACGTGGCAATGAGGTTAGTCAGGAATAACAGAGGTGATGTGGTACAGAGATCAGTCAGGATTTCAGCTGTGATGTGGCACAGATCAATCAGGATTACAGCTGGGATGTGGCACAGAGATTAATATGGAATCACATGACGTGGCACAGAGATTGGTCAGGAATGACAGTGGTGATGTGGCACAGAGATCAGTCATGAATAATAAAGGTGAAGTGGCACAGAGATTAGTCAGGATTACAGCTGTGATGTGGCACAGAGATAAGTCATGAATAATGTTAGGATAAAACTAGTTTTCACTGTGCAAGTGATAACAGCTGTGACGTGGGACAGAGGCGTTGCACAGAGACGTGGCTGTGAGCTGACGCTAATCCTTCCCACGTGTTTTTGTCTTCTCTCCTTAGTCCCTTTTACTGTTGCATTAGGATTTTTCCCAGCTCGACACAGAGGAGTATGTAAGTATGGATCTGCCAGATCAGATCAGCATGGCCGTCCCTGGTGAAGGGCCTCTGGCTGTGGTTTCCTGTACACTGATGACTCATTGAATGGTCATCATATAAAATCAGGCTCCTTGTGTGAAGAGGCGTGATTCTGCACATGATGATGGGTGCTGTGGGTGAAATCGGGTGAATCTAGCTTTGGAGAAGTGGTGTCCGGATGTGCCGGCAGACGTTATCACTGGGATTTGGAGGGGGTCTGCTTGATCATTTTACTTACTGCATTTACCCTCCCCCCATCCCCCCCAGGCAGCACAACTGACCAAGCTTCAGCCGGTGTGAGAGAACCTGCACATGTGATGAGAACAGATCAGGACTATTCCCAGGTGCTATACCCAAGCCAGGACCCCAACCTGCCCTGCCTGCCCCACAAGCAGAATGGTACATTTGCTCAAGTGCCTTTTCTGGACCCCCCCGGGGGCCGCCACCCTCCACCTGACGTGTCTGACGGAGGACCCTCCAATTTTCTCCATCATGAGATATCCGCCTTGTGATGAACATGCTCATACTATAGACCCTGAGTGGACTTCCCAGCTGGTCCCGTGCGAAGAGCACGGCCCTGCAGGACTGACCTGGACAGCCAGAGCTGTGTTTTTATATCGCCCTCTCTTTTCATAGATGTATTTTTTCAAAGAATGAATGTCTGACAATCTGCAAATGTGTCCAGTGCTCCCTTTGACTCTGCTCTTTGTTCAGTGGGTCTTGCAGAAGCCTGCAGATCGGAGTCCACGTTCACTTTGTTACATTTAAACACCACAACTGCCTGCTCACTCGTCTATTACCTTAAACTCTCCCGCCATCAATAAACCATCGTGCCCTGCTATTTAAATAAGCAGAGAGCCTCTGCCTTTGAAATTCCTTGATTCAGTGGAGGAAAAGTCCATTGCTGGGGCGATCTTCACCCGGTAAGCACTAATTAGTGCAGGAATGATGTCGTTTAGGATTCAGTGCGTCGATACCCTGTGTTTTTGCCCAGAGGCTTGCGGGTGACCTCATTCCATTAAATCAGCATGCTGCTGCTGGATGTTTGTAAAATAATGGAGTCCAGAGGTACGGCATTTTATGGCACTGAGAAGATGTTAGTCTGGGTCTGTTGCTGATACTGTGCCTACTGTGTTACTGTAAGAAATGACTGGGGGCTTAGGGGAAACCCCTGATTTTTAAGGACCAACTCAACTACCATTAATGTTTAACATTCCCCATTGACGTATATTAAGTTCGGTGCATGTTTTTGCTTAGATCCTTCAGCGTTCAGTCCAGCGTGAGTTGCCTTCGACCAGTTCCTGGTCTCTGAGCGACTTAACCAGTCCACAGATCAGCCACGATCAGAAAGTAAGTTAAGGTCACGAGGTTCTGTTGTGGAGCATCAGGTACTGGTTAAAGCAGTGTAGTATTCATTGTGGACCAGATGGTTTGCACCAGCAACTCCAGGCTCTCTTGCTGTATTTATGATTTCCTGAGGTCTACAGAACAGGCCATTGCCCACGTCCCTGTCTTTTTTTTCTGTGAAATTCATTAATATTATGCCCTCTGATTCTGTGATTAAATCAATAATGTCTTGTAGTTATATCAGAATTATTTACAGCCACAGCCACAAACTCCAAGTATACAGCAAAAGTCATTTTTAATGTATTTCTCTGAATGGAGATCTATGTTACTGAGTAGGCAGAAGTGTTTATTTTTGGTGTTTGTTTTAGTGGTTTGCGCTGAGTTGCCATGTTCTGCTTTAGACAGAAGCTTTCCTGTCACACTGCCTTGTTTTTTTTACACTAAATACCAAAAAACTATTGATGGTGGAGAATATGAAAGTTTGAGGTTTTTGTAATGGAAGGGTAACTATTGGTGACACTGGTCTCTGAGTTTCTGAATCTTCAAATGACCAAATGGGACAATAGTGAGAGATTTTGTCCCCGGTTATACCTGCTTTTTTTCCTTGCTTCAAAGTTTGATAATATAAAAGCCCTTACAATCCAAGGCTTTGCATACATTTCGCTTAACTGTCGGTATGTTTGCGATGCCTGAGCCTCGTCCTTCTGCCCTTGATACTTTAGAGGGCCTCATCTTTTTCTCCTGCTTCTATCCAGCTTTGTAGACGGACCCTGCTCTCCAGTTCACTTCACACTTTACCCATAATGTCACTATGTTTGACTTTGATGTTCTGTGCAAACCTGACCCCTAATGGATGAATGGTGAATTTCGTTTTCAGGCCGTTTACAATGCAGTAGTTTTGTTTTATTTTTTTATTTCTTGTAATTTTCTAAAACAGACAATTTTTGAAAATACAATTTTAAAAAGCAATACATGGTGTTTTTATTTGAAAAAAAATTAAGTGTGTTTGTATTTGTGTGTGTTTATCTAACACTACTGTACATATAGCTTACACACATTTTTTGTTAGTCAATTATACATGTCCTAATAACACAGTTTTTACTGCAGTATACTTTGATTCACCCCAGAAAACATTCCTGTAATTGACAGGCACAGTTTTTAAATATTATTAACGTGCTTAAAACAGTAAAATGTTTTATGCTGTTAAATAGGCCTATTAAAACTGATAATTAGTATTTAAATAAAAACGTGTGTTCAGTATAAATGTACTTCAACACTGGTTTGTGGTTCAATGTGGTTGGCCTAATCGTTAGTTATGCTGTACACACGTTCCACCTGGCGGTCTACCCTCTGAAAAGTTTAATGAATTGTGCATGTGTATCTCCCTGTGTTAGACACACGCAGAGACCGAAACTATCTCTGTGCCAGGCTGAGTGTGCCCCTTTCCCAGTTCCTGGTTCTGTGTGCCTGTCTCTGTGCCAGGCTGTGTGTCACTATGTGTCTCTATCTCTGTGCTAGGCTGAGTGTGTCTCCGTCTCTGTTCCTGGCTCTGTGTGTCTGTCTCTGCTTTGTGCCAGGCTGTGTGTCACTATGTGTCTCTATCTCTGTTCTTGGCTGAGTGTGTCCCCATCTCTGTTCCTGGCTCTGTGTGTCTGTCTTTGTGTCAGGCTGTGTGTCAGTCTCTGTGTCTGTGCCAGACTGTCTCTGTCAGTCTCTGTCTCTGCCAGGCTGTGTATTCCTGTCTCTTTCTGGCTCAGTGTGTCCATCTCTTTGCCAGGCAATGTGTTAGTCTCTGTGTCTCTGCCAGAAAAAGTATCGGCCTTTGTCTATGTGCCAGGCTGTGTCTGTCAGTCTCTGTCTCTGTGCCTGACTGTGTCTGACAGTCTCTGTCTGTCTGCTAGGCTATGTGTATCTATGTCTATGCCAGGCTGAGAGTGTCAGTTTCCTGGGGGAGTCAGAACATTATACTCTGCCTGTAGGACCACAAAGCTGTCCTGACGGATCTTGCGCACCTGCACCAGGTCGCCACACTCCTGCACGTGGATGACTCCACCCCTTCGGCTGCTTTCACCAAAGGAAACCTCGCTACGTTTCCAGCAGTACTGGCTGTGCAGGTACCTCAGGCCTGCTGCAAGGACCATGCCCAGCCCGGCACCCACGCCCAACAGGATGCCCAGTTGGGCCCTACCCAGGGGAGGCACCCTCTCTGGTGCCTCCTTCGGGGGTCCCAGTTCTCCCCCCTGTGACACATTCAAGCCTGGGACAGGCTTCTGCAGCTGGGAGTGTGTGACCGTGGTCATGGTGCGTGGGCTGGATAGCTGGGGGGCAGAGGTGACCCGTGACCAGGCTGCCACTCTGGCGTAGGTGGCTTTCTCCGTCTCTGCCACGGTGGCCTTGGTGTCCAGGTCAGGGCCCACCAGCAGACTCTGTCGGGCCTGCCAGAGCCCCACATCACCCCCCTCTGGGCTGACCGGCAGCAGCAAGCTTTCCCCTGGATCCTGCTGACAGAGTAATAGGTATGAAAAAGGGACTATGGTGATCCTGTTTGCTCTGGGCAGCAAGAAGAACCTTGGCTTCCCGGTGGTGTGCACAGCTACAGGCCGCTGCTCATCATACCTCTGTGTCACCCTTACACTCCTGACAGTGCTGCAGCGTGGTGATGCGGGTCTGGCTAGCTTCCCTGGAAAGGAATGGCACAGAGCACAAGCTTTTCTGGTCATCACACAGGCTGTGGTCCCTAACGCGATGTCACTTGCTCTGTAACTGCCCTGAGGGGCGTACCCTCGCAGGACGCCTGTCATCATGGCTGTCACGTGGATTATAGGTTGCTCTCGATTCAGCAGGTTACCTGCAGTGATGTTTTTTTGCTTTTTGGGACCTATGATACTTACCCTATCTGCTCTGAGTCTAGAGGCAGTGCAAGAGGCTTGGGATCACCGGTGCGGGCTGGGGTGGCGCCGTGCCCCAGGTCAAGCTTGGAAGGCTGCAAGGTACCAGCCTGAAACATCCTGTCCAGGGGGGTTATGGCCCCCTGGGGGACTCCCCCTCCTGGGAGCACCTCTCTATTTGGCAACATGGACCCTGGGGACCCTGAAAAGAATCCATGATGAGAAGGAGAAGATCACAAGAAATCACAAGCGTGCTCTGCAGTCTGCTCTGAAGCGTGCTCTGAAGCGTGCTCTGCAGTCTGCCCTGGAGCGTGCTCTGAAGCATGTTCTGCAGCGTGTAAAACATGTAAACACTCTGAAGTATGTTCTCTAGAGTGTAAAACGGCACATCTCTCAGAAACATAGGCACTACAGATTTTTAATTCAGAAATGAGCTTCTTTTAAGGATACACTTTATGTGTGATTTTAAATATTCCAAGTTATAAATATCAATGTTCAAACTGATTTTCTCAGTCTAAACCTTTGTCTTTGGTTTCTTTTTAAATCTGACTTTGCTGGTTCTTCATCCTACACTGTATGAAATTTGGTTCTGCAGAGGAATCAAAGTGTGAAAAACGTGTGAAAATGTGATTTCAATTATTTATTTAAAGCCACTTATCTGTTGCTTTCCAAAAGTTATCATTTATAGATAAAACTTTACTTTGTAAGGAGAACATGGAGAATTACTGTCAGAGTCGGAACCTTCAGTCCTGATAAAACGGAAAGAAGGTATTTGTCTCAATGAAGAGACTGTCAGTACTTTAAAGGTAATACCTAGCTTAACCACTAGAGGACGCCCGTGCCTTCGTGCCTCTTTCATTGCTTTGTTTTGTGTGTATTTTTTTTAAGACTGAATTCACTTGAATGACTTACAGGTTCAATTTAAAGTCAAATGAAATGTCAGGATAGTAAATATCCATAAAAAAACATAGTTCATCATTTTCCAAATCACAGATAACAATTGAGAGTTTTGCTGTTAGAGAGTACATGTGTAAGGATTAACTGCTAAAAGTGTGACATAGAAAACACCGGTGACACAGGTGGCACAGGTCCCATCCTGGAGTGGATAAACCCTTGGAGCGTTACCGTGACGATAGATGCATTCACCTGGACTGGGAGTGCTGAAGACCCCCTCCGCTGCCTGTGCTACCTCTGTGCTCTTCCCTGTGCCGTCACTCACCACGCTAGACTCAATCCCGGCCCAGTACACAAAGTAAGACTGTACCACCGTAATCCTGGGGAGTGGGGGACAAGGGGTGGCCTCGGTCAGTCTGACAGGGGTCACCAGGGCGTTCACATTATGCTCTTTTTTTATTTCACTGTCTCTTATGCTCTATCAATCGTTCACTGAAGTTAACACATTGAATATTTTTTGTTGTCGCTTTTGAATGTAACACCAGCCTCACAGTAAAGTATAACCTATCCAGGAGGTCTCCCACTGATCTAATGACGCTGAATGCAGCCCCAGGCTCATCCATTCACTGCACCTGTAGGGAAGATAAGCCCGCCCATTTCGGGGCCTCTTCAAGAGCGGCACATGGACCGCGTGGTGGGTCAGTGCACCGGTAACTGGTGGGAACCACCTCGGCCTTCACTGGAGCCCTCTGCGCTCAAGGTGACGACATGGCGTGTACTGCTGTAGCGTGACCACTAATGAAGGATCATTGTGGTTTTATCGTATCGATGGCAGCAGTGGTTGTGTAGTAACACACCATGCGTGTGAGAAGCTGCTTCGGCAGGCCTTACAGGAAGCGCACGTCGCCGACAGGTCGGTCCGGCGCCCTCCACACGAACGACAGGTTCCTCTTCAGCAGCTTGTCGGCGTGTGTCACCGTGTCGGCCTCTTCCACGCAGGCGAGTGGCCGCGAGCCCACTGGCGTCGCCACGAAGGAGCCGGCAGGACGGAGCTCCGCCACTGTCCGCGCCTGCAGCAGGAAGCCCATGAAGTCCCGGGTGCTCCTCACTGCCACTGCAGGGGCGAGGACAGACCCATTTGAGGCACGCTGGCTCCAGTTAGGGTCGAGGCCTGGAGGCCCCCTGGTGGCTGCAGGGCCCTTTGCAGCTCATGTCACTCATGCCTCAAACCAGCCCCGATTAAGGGGACAGAGTCGACACTCCTCCTTTCTCATCTCCCCTTTCCCCTAACACACTTTGGAAGGATCTGTGTCGCTCGCTGCTTGTAAGGGCCGGTCGTGTCACAGGACAGCCACTACTTCCTTGCCATTTATATCGTCCTAGCCGGGCATATAGTGAAGGTCACAATCGGGTAACGAGGAGTCTAATTGGAGTCGGAGTCCATCTTTCTCCTGCTCCTAGTTTTTTTTTGGTTTTGGTACTTTACATTAACTGCACCTTCATAAAGCCTTTATAATGCATTCATAGAACATTCATAAGCAGCATGTAAGTATACCTTAACATCCTAATATACCATAACAGCTTTAATAATAATAACACACATTATATGATAACAAACATTATAATCATAAAATGTTTGTTAATGTATAATAAAGCTGCTAAGGTATGTTACAATGTTATCAAATACTTCTGTACTGCCTATGAATGTACTATGAATGCATAATGAATGCATTCTGAAGGTGCAGTTAATCCGGGGGTGGCCAGTCTTATCCACAAATAGCCATTGCGTATGCAGGATTTCGCTGCTACTCCCTAATTCGATTACTAATCAGAGGACCGATTGGCTGAAGAGTCCTCACACCTGGGTTTGAACAGCTGATCTAAAGGTTACCCAGAAACCTGCGTACACACCGGCCCTTTGCGGGTAAGACTGCATACCCCTGAATTAATGGTTTTTTATTTTATTTAAACGTATTACCATAATAGAACAGAATGCCATTTATGGTTCCTCAGGTGAAGCTATCTGCAAAGTAAATAAATTCAAATAAACAAAATTAAACTCTTAAGAGAGCGACAGAAAAGGAGATGAAGATCATTCAGGCGACGAAGAGGCTGGCCGTGGGCCAGAGCGGTCTGGACCCCGTCGCCACAGACAGATTAGACCCCAAAATATTCTAATGGAGACTAATTATTTGAGCACAGCGTCAGTTCATATTTAATGTCATTCCTAATTATGTGCTCATCTTGGAAAAGAAAATGGAGGCTTCACAAAGGCAGGTCAGCTTATTAAGATAAAGTCTCTCGATCTGGCTGGATTCAGCACGATGGATGACTTTGGGACGCCGGCACACATATCTGGGGAGGAGATGAACCTGGAATCCTGAATCGGGATCAGAATGCCCTCGCCCGTCCACACATGCCGTTCATTCACACTGGAAGGGGTCACTTCTGTGTCATATTTAATGTGTTTTGGAACACAGAACCCCCTGATGCTAATTACAGATATAACACGGGTACACAACCTTGCCTCGGAGGTCACAGTGGTTCTCTTGGCTAATTCTCCACCCCCGGCACTAGCTCTCTGCAGTGTGAAGACTGTGGTCTCGTTGGTCCCTGTCATTAGGACTTTGATGAAACACTGACAGCCTGTTGTTTGGGAGGGTCCTCTTCTCAGGTAACTGGGTTCTCCTGATAGACAGACTGCTGGTGCATCGTGTTTCGCTGTCCCCGAGTTCCCTTTCCACGTCGGCAAGTTCCTTTGTCTTCTCATCTATTAAAATGGCCTCTTTACCTTTGCCTTTGTTGCTGTGACCGCCAGCCCTCCCCCGCCATCCCATAATGAGCAAGGCTTCCTCCTGTAAGCCCTCTGTGACCTGCTTCTGCTTACATTTCTCTCACAGCCCTGTTATGAAATCGCCAGGCCGCTGTTTCTCGATACTTTGGCAGTTGTTTTTTTGTGCTATGTCATATTTTCTATGACATTCTGTGAGTTTTTTTGCAATCTTTCTGCTGTCCCCCCTCCCTTCCCAGCAGCATAATTCCGGTGGGACCAGACATATATCACCCCTCGATATATCGATACATCACCCCTGCTTACCAGCCACAATGTCCCCTGGTAGGTAGGAGCGCACATCAGTGTAGAGCGTGACAAAGGCGCGCCTAGCATCCTGGGGCTTGGCGCGGATGTGACCAGGCTTCATGTCCATACAGGCCGAGCGACTGGCCCCCCCGGAGAAGCCCCGAGCGGGGGTGGGCAGCCACAGGGTCAGGATCACGCACAGCAACAGCTCGCAGAAGCTCCTCATGGTCTGCTGCACACAACCACAAGCATGAGTGAGGCCCTGCCCACAGGGGGGCGCCAGAGACATACAAAAACACGAGTGCAAGTAAGGTCCTGCCCATAGAGGGCGCAAGTGACACACACAAACATGAGTGTGAATGAGGCCCCGTCCACAGGGGGGCGCCAGTGACAC